GCATCTCGTTGTGCCTATTCGTTTAGCGACCTTTCAAAGTGAGTTACCGGATACGGTCATCTTTTTTTGAGTATCATTCCGTTTTTCCTCCAGAAGGCTAATTTATTTGTGATAATCTGTTCAATACCGAGATAACCTTTTTTGGAAGATAACTTTTTTTGGAGATTTATTAAGTTCACTCAAATATTACACATACGAAATTGTATAGATTGCTCTTGGCGTTGAAATGCTCAGGAATAATACCTTATGAACTAACAACGGATAAACTCCTAAAGGTGGCCAAAGGAAACGAACTAATTTTTGACATAATCGCTTATTCACTTGGCTTTTTCAGAGTTGAGACCAACACAACATGTTCACCGTCTCATCGTTACTTCAGGCAGGTATTTACAAGATATTCTTGATTCTCTAATACCTGTTTATCAAGTTGTTTGGAAATGAGCGTGCAAGTTCGAGATATGGTAATCTCAATTTGCGTTTGGGTGCCCTGAATCGTCGTAAAGCAGTTTCGGTTAATTCCGAACTGTTTTAGTCTGATAGACTGAAATTTTGAGCAACAGGAAGAGTGTGGCTTAGGCTTGAAAATTCACAGTATCGTTTGCTGTGAACGATGGGTGAACCATTATTTAATCTCTGATTGATGGATGACAAAAACTCAGTATACGATTCCGAGATGAACATGCCAAGCGCAATTTATCGCCAGTCGTTATTCAGTAGAGTATAAAATTGAACTCGATGCTGTTTGAGGTGCTTATGATGGGGTGTCTTTAACATGTATGAATGACAATAAGGTAGCCGCAGACAGAGCTACTAAAGTGATTAATGGGCGACACATTTATGTAGACCAATTTTGGATGATTTCGGATGCCATGCATTCCATGCATTCGAGGAATGCGATTCTGATAGGTGGTGCGTTCAAGAAGCAAAAATTATTGCTTGTCGAGTCTTTCACAGGTTGCAATCTATCAATTTCATTCAGCTGCTCCCCGAATTTGGTCATTTTTCTTCGTTCGATTAAAGGAGTCTCAGTTTCATGACATAGAGTCAATTCAGCAATTCACCAACAACTTATGATGTTATACTAATTAGTTCTCACTCTCAATCCCTGCTTGCATCGCATTCATTTGTGCATTTAAATTACCATTCTTGAAGGAGTGAAGCTTCTGATTCATTTGCTTTCCGCAATGAATTCAAATCAAAAAATTCTATTCTAAAGATAATTCCAGCAACAATTTTCCTACAGTAAATTGAACATCCAATAGAATCCGCGGAAAAGTGAAAAACGGACTGAAATGGGTCAAAAATTCTCTCTCGTTTCTACAGATGATCTATTACTGTGCTTGAGGAATTTCTTGAGAAGATGTTCACTGCGAAGAATTCCCAAAGGGAGTTTTACAGAGAGTCGTAATGTCAGTATTTTGATGGTTGTTAAATTGTGAAATGTTGAGATGATTTTTTGGAATGCTCATCACATCGAATCTCATCTGACACTCAATGGCTGTCTTCTCTCACTGACTGACAATAACTCATCGGGGATTGAGTAAATCCCAAAATTTAATGTTTATCATTCAAGCGCAATAACAATCCTATCACTGTGTGACACGACCAGTGCGTTTGAAACTTTCAAAAATGTCACTAAACTTATTTCATTCAACAGAACGAATCCGCTGTACTTGTCAGATGCTTCTCAGCATCACTCCAACAACATAATATTATACCATAATTTTTCCTCTGAATTTCAACAAATGATATTGATGCGTTTTGGTTCCATACATCATGCTTTTGATTTGCGAAAAAAATTATTAGTTCATTTGAATGTTTGCTAGAAGTTCTG